GCCACGGCTGACTTTTCCGCCCTCGTCGCCTGAATTGCCCACCGCCTAGGACACGGGTGTCAGCCAACTCCGCAGTTCCTCACCCACCTCCGCAGTTCCTCCCCCTGCCTCCGCAGCTGCTTGCCCTGCCTCCGTGGTTCCTCCCCCTTGCCTGCACAGTTCTTCCGCCGACGTCCGCAGCTCATCCGCAACCCTCCGCAGTTCATCCCCGTGGCTGCGCTGCTGTTTCGCTGAGGGTCTAAGGTGCTCCCTGTGCCTCACTCACCCCTTCCCAACCAGTACACACATAGTATGCTCCCAGGGTGGTGCACACTGTCCACTTTACGGGCCGTGAACCAGCCTGGGGGGGTGCTCCTCGTAGCCCATTGGCCAAAGGCCGGCGCTGAGCCAAAGGCCGTCGCTCCCTTGAGGTGCTGGTGGATGGGAGACCCAAAACGTGCTGGAGTGCATCAGGCCCGTGAACCAGCCTGCGGGGGCGCTCCTGAAAGACCGTGTGGCGGTTGATGCGCGCCGTGCATAACGCAAGAGACCAAAAAAAAAACAAAAAAAAAAAACCCGGCTACCTATGTGTCACGGGCGATTCCCCAAATCCCCATTTTGGCACTCGGCCCCGACCATGTCTTACTACAAAGGGGAACGGAGTGTGACGGGCTGGGTACTCCGTCATTGAGTACTGGAAACCACACGGGCTGGGTACTGAAAACCACACGGGCTGGGTACTCAAAACCACAAATCCGGCATTCCCAAATCAGCATTTTTCGGAAATTTGGGGTCGCCGTGTGAGAATGGCCTGAGAGCAGGAATGCAAAGTGAAAACATTAAGGAGGGGTCATTAGGGAGGGGTGGAACGAAGAATTTTCCGTCAACCCTTCCTTGAGTTCAAATGGAGGCGAATGGAACCTTAGGGTAGCACTCGTGTGAGAAGTACTAGTGTCAGTACTTCCCGAAAAATGGAAAACAGCGCGCCCAAAAAATCCGGCCCAATGTCATTACATCGGTGGAACCCACCTTCCTAAAGATTCCGTCGCGGGCGGATGAAACTGGTAGAAGGGCCGCAGTGTCGAGTTGATGGGAGATCTGGTTATGGTGGCATGTGGGAAGACTGTGGGAAGACTTATGCATACTCGTTTTTCCGRAATGTATGTTTTTGGAGGTTGAACTTGCGATGGTGATCTTTTTGTCTGAGCTTTGGTGGTGTCTCATTACGAGTTAGTTTGTCCAAATTTGCATTAATTTTCCGATTCTATGCGTACATGGTTGACTCTGCTTGCTACTGTGCCCCTCGCGACAGGCTGTTTTTGCAGCACTCTCTCTCTCTCTCTCTCTCTCTCTCTCTCTCTCTCTCTCTCTCTCTCTCTCTCTCTCTGTGTGCACACACCGCCGTCTCTCTGCGTGTGTGTCGCGTGTGTGAGCTCGCTTTCTGCGCCAAGTCCGTGTACGGTGTATTCCCTCTGTTATCTTCTCTCTCCTTCTGGTAGCAGCTGCTGGAATCGACTGTTACATTTTTCTTGCATCGCTTACGAGGATAGAATTCATCCCTCCCTCCCCTCCCCTCCCCTCTCCCCTTCCTGCTCCCTCCACTCCTCTCTCTCTCTCTCTCTCTCTCTCTCTCTCTCTCTCTCTCTCTCTCTCTCTCTCTCTATCTCTGTGTGTACACACCGCCGTCGTTCTGCGTGAGCGTGTCGCGTATGTGAGATTGCTTTCTTGTTTCCCCATCGCTTTGGGTCGGACATCTTCTCCCTCTGTGGTCACTGGCCGCTTCGCCTGCCGTTGCCTTGTCATAGACCAGAAGGGGCCAATTAGTTGGAGGAAGTAGTCGCTGAGCATCCGCAACACAGGAGTCGCCCAGAGAGAACTCACAACTTCGCTATTGGGATCCGCTCTGGGTCTATCCGATAGGACTCTCCACTCATATCGGCGTCCCCTCGCCGCACGCGTCCTTTTTCTTTTTGCTTTTCTTTTTCTTTCTCTTTCTCACTAATTTTTCTTTTTCTTTTTCTATCTCTCTTTTTTTTGTTTTTCAAATTTCCCTCACTCCTAACAGCTACGGCCTGGATAGCCTAGAGACACGTCACCAGGGCATGTCCATTGCCCTCTCACCTCTGTGTGGTGGCACTTTCTCTGCAAGCGGTTGGCTCAGACATCCTCGGAGGTCCACGTGTCTCTTTCTCGATTGTCCGAATTCTGTAGGAGGTCCTCGGCTCTGCAATCGTGAATCGTTGTCATCTTCAACACCGACGTTCCAAGCCTCTGGCAAAGAGGTCATTCGCTTTGCGTCTCGAGGCCGATGGCGATGCTCACTGTGATAATGGTAATGATGATGATGATGATGATGATGATTATAAGTATGCCAATGCGGGTGCTAGCGGCAGTAGGAGCAGCTGGGAGCTCGACAGCGCAGACAGGAGGGGAACCCGTTACGGGAATGGAGAGTGGATATCATGACATTGGCGACAGGCGGGGAGAGAGAATGCTTGAGGCAGGCCCGTCGGAGGGAGGTCCATCGCCTGCTTTCGACATCACAAGCACGACTCTTCTTCAAGATTTCCGCGTGGTTTTGACCACTACTGACTCTGCATGTTCGCCATCCGGTACAAATTCGTGTCTTTCATGGGTCAAGAGCGTGGTATTCACCTCCCAGAGGGGTGTGTTCTTCTATTTGCGCGAAGATAGATCGCTGAACACTTCTGCGAGTGCTCGCAGGGATTCGGTGAAGTTTGTGCGCAAGGGTGATTTGCGAGGTATTGCCAGCTCTGGGGACGCAGAAGGCAACTCCTCCCTGCTGACTCTATCGTGGACGTCTGAAAAGCGGAACGGCACTGCGGCGAGTGCTGCTGCTTGGAACTCGGGGACAGTAAGGAGCGAAGACGGACTTGCTTACTCCACGGGGTTCGATCTGTCGCGGAACGAGCGAAATCTCGTGATGCCTACTCGTTGGGGTCTGGCATTCATCAACACCACGGACGGTTCCGGAACTACCTATCTCTATCTGATCCCCGACTTCCAGTGTAGATTCGCTGCATTCAATCCTAACCGCACGATTCTGTACGTGGCCAGAGATCAATGCCTTAAGTTCTCCGTCACGGATGGCGAGTCGCCTGAAAGCTTTGTCAACGATTTCAGAACAAGAGCATGCCGTGATGCCAGCTATCTCACCCTCGGTCATCGAAGCTTTCTCCAAGATGGGAGCTACCTATACGCTAGGGACGACCTGAACCATAAGATTGTAGGTTTTAACCTGATTAATGGATCTGTGGACTCGGTAACTGGGACATACGAGGCTGGGCAGCGTAACTCGCTCTATGTCGGTGCCAATACCTGGGAGGCGAATCTTGCGCTGACCCAAGATGGCTGTAACTTATTCTTCGCCGCGGATTGGGCCACAAATATCCGGCGGGTGGCTTTCGATAAACCCGGAGGCAAAGTGGTTATGGAGGAGACGGTGGCCAAATGCGGCCTACCGGGAGAATGCGTCATCGGGACCGTTGCTTTAGATAACGATGACAGCCATTTGTACGTCTCGATCCAGACGGGGCAGCTATTCGAATTTCCAATCAACAAGCAAGCTCTTGGGCAATGCAGCGGTGCATTTCCAACACCAGCAGCAGTGCTGACAGGCAGTACCTCAGCCTATCATTCATCGTCATCGCCATCGCCGTCAGAACTCTCGACAGTATTCTCATCATCACCATCGCCAGCGCTATCAACGGAATCCGCTCCATCGCCATCGTCGTCAGAACCTTCGACAGAATCATCATCATCATC